TGGGTTGGGAGTTGTTGATTGTGATGTTGGGTTTGGGTAATTTCTCTGTGCAGACAACAAAGATAGGATTGCCCTGTGGTACCTGTGATCCCCTCAAAAGTGTCTTTCCACCTGAGCTGCCTCTCACCTCCCATCAACCTGAGTCCTGAAGAACCAGGCAGAGTGGGTATCCTGGGCAGATACAGGAGGATCTGAGGGATCAGAGGATGTGGGTCCCCCTGGGTTGTGTCTGGGAGAAGCACAGAGTTTCTCACAGGTGCACTTAATTGCAGAATTTGGTCCTGGACAGACCCAGGACTGGGAGTTAGCAACCCCGTGTGTCTCCTGGTTCTTGCTGGCCCTGGCTGGCCTTGAGATGCAGAGTCCCTCCAGCTGCATGGACTCCAGGGCTCGGCCCACGTGTGTCCTCTGAGCCTTTGGTTCTCAAGGCCATCCTAGATGTGGGTCATGGTGGGACACTCCACTGTGCCTACACCCCAAGAACACCCCCACCGCCTGATGTGAGAATGGGGTGTGTGAACAGAAACCAGGATACAGGGGCAAGCTTGGCATTCAGGTTGGTGGTCATCCTGGGGCCACAAGGGGGACAGTTCTGCTCAGGTGTTTCCTGGTGACTGACAGGAGCCAGTGGCACCTGAAAGGCAAAGCATGAGTCCAAAGAATGCTCTAGGGTGAGGGGACAGACAAGGTTTAGAGCAGAATCATGTTCCTGTCCTTGGTCTTTACATCCCTCTCCCCCTGCAGAGAGCAGGTGAGGCAGGTGGAATGGTCCTGAGAGACCAGTGGATGGTTCCAAACACATTAGCACTAAGAGGTGGAAGAGGGGACCAGGACCTTGCTGAAAATACGGCCCTCGTGGGCTTGTGTGTGGCAGACCTGGGGTAGAAATGGGGGATGTTAAAGTTTTCCATATGGGAAAATAGTGTTTAATACCCAGGATCTAAGACTCCTTTCTGAAAGAAATATTGCTCTCAGGAGCACAGTGTCTTAGACTGAGCTCTGAAGTCCTGAGGGGTCACATTATGACCCAAGGCAGCTGCTAAGGTCAGTTTGAAACCAGCAGCCTCCTGAGTAAGGAGAGACCTGTGGGTCCTGGTGGAAAACTGAATGGTCAGAGGGGACATCTGAGGGTCTCTGTTATGTAAAATGAGGCACAACACCAAACTCAGAGAAGTATTATTGATCATGTTGGTGGTAGGCCAACCTTAAGGGTGACTGAGTTACACTCCCCAGCTGGGTGCTGAGGCTCTCAGTCACAGAAATGGGTGTGTCTTGCTACAGCCCCATGGGTGAGGTATGCTCACCTGTTCCTTTGTAATATAACCCCTTGCCCTGTTTAGGGTAGAATCTTCCATGGAAGTGCCTTCTGTGTGTCCCTTCCTCTTACTGTGCCCTTGGGTGTGGCCTACCCAGGTGTCA